AGACACTATTAGCTTTAACTTTAGACACTATTAGCTACACCTACCTTTATCTTTAGACACTATTAGCTGAGTTTCTAGTTTCAGGTTCAGTTTTCTAGGTTTCTAGGTTCAGTCACTGTTTACTTTGATTTTCAGATTCTTGTTACTGTTTTATTTGTGCGTTTACTTCTTTTATTTTCCTACGTTACTTCAGGGCAGATCATGCAGCTACAAGTGTTGGTTTGTAGCTTCACATTAACGTAAAATTGACAAAACAAAGACTTGGGGCCAGTTTTTTTTCATCATCACTCTGAACACCGTACAAGGATTCATCTGCACCAACAGAAACTTGACACAGTCGTTTCCGTTCAGTTGCTGAAGCTAGCTGCTGATTTTTTTCTTCCAGTAACAAAGGCATGGACCACCTGTCCACCATGAAGAGGAAGAACGTGGTCCTGGTGTACGACCTGCTGCTGGAGATGTTGGACGCCAACACGTCCAGCAGCAGCAGTCAGACGGCGTCGTCCTCGCCGACGTCCGACAGCTTCACCGACCAGCAGCAGTTCGTCCTGCCTCCATCCCACCTGCAGCCGTCCTCCGACCAGACCGCCGATAACACCGCCGCCATGCCTCCACACGGAGCCGCCGACGCCCCAATCCTGGACGGACACCAGCAGGCTCCACCCCTCCAGGCCACGCCCCCTTCACAGAGTCTGGAGGAGTCTCACATGAACGAGTAAGTTTACATCCACTGTATAAAAAGACATAAAACCTTTTCTTTCTCACTGTCTGACATTAAATCAGACTAAATGTTTCCTGTTTCAGGTCAGTCAGGATCACCAACATTATTTCTATTTGCTAAACACCAGAAAAATGAGAGAGAGAATTTCTAATGACTTTCTTCAGAGTCAGAAGTTTACATCCACTAAGATGCCTTCAAACTATCTGGGAAAGCCCAGACAATGATGTCATGGCTTTGGAGGCTTCTGATTGGTTAATTGACAACATCTGAGTTAGTTGGAGGAACACCTGTGGATGTATTTTAAGGAACACCTCAAACACACTACTTCCTTCTGTGACAACATGGAAAATCTAAAGAAACCAGCCAAGATATCAGGAAGAGAACTGTGGACCTCCACCAGTCTGGTCCAGATGGCTGAAGGTTCCACGTTCATCTGTTCAGACAGTTCTATCAAGTATAACCACCATGGGAATGTCCAGCCATCATAGGCTCAGGAAGGAGACGGTTCTGTGTCCCAAAGATGAAGTGTTCTGGTTGAAATGTGTGAATCAACCCCAGAACAGAAGCAGGAAGTTAAAGCTTGGACACTAATGGGTCTTCAGATGGACAATGACCCTCAGCATAGCACCAGATTAGCTACAGAGAGGCTTCAGGACAACAGAGTCAGTGTTGTGGAGTGGCCATCACAAAGTCCTGATCTCAGTCCTGGAGAACATTAGTGGAGCAAAGAGACCAACAAACCTGACTCAGTTCCACCAGTTCTGTCAGGAGGAATGGGCCAGAACCCATCAGACTGTTGTGAGAAGCTTGTGGAAGGAAACCCAGAACGTTTGACCCAAGTCATAGAGTTTAAAGGCAACGTTACCAGATACTGAGGAGATGGATGGAAACTTCTGACTTTGGAGAAAGTCATAAAAAAATATGTTTACTTTCATTTTCAGTTGTGGGATTAATAGCGGGTTATCTTAGTTTATTTGATCATTGCCTGTAATAGTAACTGTCCTGACCTCCCTCACAGCTACATCTCAGAGGACCAGTGGGCCATGGACACTCAGAGCGTCCCTTCGTCGTCCTACATGCTCTATCAACGGGCCATGATGTTTGCCCACTTAAAGCCGGACTGAAACACTGAGACTGAACCTTTCCATCCCCAAAGATCCAGAAAAGGACAAACAAACAAACAAAAAAAAAACAAAAAACAACCTAAACAAAGTGCTGTCGTGAGGTAGTTTTTTTTCTTGTCGAGATGTTTTTAGTCTTTAAAAAAGAAGAAAAAGAAAGAAAAAACGAGAGAGGACCATTTTTGATCGAATGTATATTTTGTGTGCGTAAATATTTCTTCTTGTGAATGTGCACTACGGTCGGTGTTTGCGGAAACATCGCTGAACCTCTGCCAGGCGGTTTGTGCTCTTTTTTGATATACAGTATTTGTATGTTTTTTTCCACGTCGGTGTAACATCCAGAACAAGCCATGTACCAACTGTCCACTGAACCCGGCCACTGTTCTCCGTCGCCCTGTGGTGTTTTTCCTCCCTCACTACTACCTACCTACCTACCTACACCTACCCATCGTGTTCTTTGGTGTTTTACTCGGATTTTTCTACTCTTTGTACAAACTGTCAGTGGAGTGGAGAAGCAGCAGTATGTGGCCTTTTTACCAAAATGACTGTTAAATTTCTCCTCTGTTCGTCTGGTTAAACTAAGGCTGAATTTACACGTGATGTGGCACAAATCTGCTCCGTTCACTCTGAAGCACCAGCAACACTGAGACTAATTTATCCCAAATATCCAATGACGGGATGCTCAGAAACTGCAATTTGAAACGAGCCAATTAGCGAACTGCAAATGCTGCAATTTAGGACGTTTGTTTTTACAATTTCACGTCATTTTTACTGTGTGACAGTCGCATTTTTGATGGTGTCTCGTGTGGCCTTGTTTAAATCGTACACACCATTAATACTGAGCAGCTTGACTCAAAAAAAAATTTTTTTTAATCTAATAGCTGTCAGAAAAATGTCGATATTTTCTCTAAATCGTTCCACTTGTCACATCTCCATGTAATGAATCTAAAATATATCAAACCTAAATGTTAGCATGTTTTGTAGCATACCTATGTATACTTAATGTACTCTTCAACAACTAATAAGTGAGGTCCTGCTAGCTAAATGCTAATGCTAGCAAGTTACCATGTTGACCATTAACTGTTAGCATAATAAGCGAAGACACATGCTAACATACGAAGACAAAATAGAAAATCTAATGTTTTTTCATTGTATATGTGTAAACTTCAAAAACTGATGAATTCCTCCTAGCCTTAGCAATCTAAGCTAGCAACTTATCATGCTAACTGATATGCAAACAGTTAACGTTATGAATTAAAAAACATCTTAACATGCCAAGATATGCTTATGTAAACTCTAAAAGCTAAACATCTGCTGCTGAACTTATGTGCTAAAATACCAATGATATGAAAATATTATGCTAATTTTTATGCCTACATGTAGCATAATAAGCTAAATAACATGCCAAGACAAAACAGTCACTATAGCTAAAGCTTTTTTACTTTACATGCACTCAGTGCAAACTGAAAAAGCTAATATGTGAAGTGCTGCTAGGCTTAGCTGTACCAAAATGCTAACAAATTACCATGCTAACTGTTATGTACACAGCTAGCATAATAAGCTAATAAACTGGTTAACATGTAAAAACAAAACATTCAGTAAATGTAATGCATAGTTGTTGTATGTATGCTTGATGTAAGAAATGATAGCATTAACTATGCTAACAATGGTCAGTCTAGCAAATTGCAATGCCAACCGTTTTGCATACAGTTAGCATAATAAGCTAAGAAACATGCTAGTATGCCAAGACAAAATGGCCACCAAACCTCATAGTTATTTACTGTATGTGTGTAAACTTTGACGCCTTGCTAGCCATAGCATTTTAGCATAATAGATGACAGAACGTTTAAAAATGCTATTTGAAAAAAAGTCCCTAAAGCTAATGCTTATTTACTGTATTTATGTAAACTATAAAAGCCAATAAATGAACTGCTACTAGCCTCAGCTGTGTTAGTATGGTGAAGCTAGCAAAATACCATGCTAACCATTAGGCGTACAATTAGCATGATAAGCTAAGAAACGTAGTGGCACACCAAGACAAAACATTAACTAACCCTGAAGCTAATTTACTTCATCTGCACTAAATGTGAACAAGGCTATATCCCAGCCTTAGCTGTGCTAACATGTTAAATGCACATTTAACTGAAGTCCTGCCAAAGCTAGCAAATACCCATGCTACACACAGTTAGCATAAGCTAAGAAACATGCTGAACATTTTTAAGATAAGATGAGGAACCTCAGTGCTAACATGCTAACTTTACCATGTTTACAGTTGAACATGTGTTAAATGTGATATGCTAACTGCTAAATTTAAATATTCAACAATAAAGTCTGTTTATGCTCATGAAACGCAAAATTAGGGATATTATTTTGTACTTGAACTTCACCGTTTATAAAAAAGAAATGGAAAAAAAACACATCCTGCAAAATTGTACTAAACCACTGATTCAGTTTATCTGGTTCCCTTTAAATACTATTAAAGAATCAGCCAAAGCATGATGGATTTTAGCCAATTTTCACTTCATATTATACTTTAGTGACCATTGCAATAATTTAGATTTTCCCCAGATAATCCAAATCAATAAGATGTGTTGTCCATACAGCAGAACAAACGTTCTTTATTTATCAGGCTGCAGATTTTGACAAAGAAATAAAAGAAAAACGTATTTACTTCCAACATATTCGGTTTGTTTCTGTTTTGCTCATTAGATGATTTTTGTTCACCTTGTTGAACCAAAAGCTTTTCTTTGCTGCATCATCTGCGGTGAATAACAGCGTCGGTCCAGGATCGCTGTCTTTGTTTTGGCTCTCGGCCCTGAAACTATTTGTCTTCTTCCACATGTAAAAACCTTTTTGGTCTCGTTTGCTTGATTCGCTTCGGTACAAGCCAACTCTCTGTTTTCATCCGGCCCGACAAACCGAGAGGAGGACCGGCTCCAGAGTTTCAGACGAGCCGTCCCAAACGCACCATTAGGATGCTTTTTGGACGTCCGGTGGAGGAGATGTGCCACATATCTGCCGGTGTAAATCCAACCTTGTGCCAGATGGTTTAACCTGCTACTAGACAGATACATGTTTACTATCCTTTCTCTCCTGACGTCTGTGGCTTGTACATGCATGAACACACACACAAGGAAGCAGCAGAATCATGGCAAACACAGTTTTATTGTCAATCGAAACGGACAATCTATACATCCCATAAATAAGAGATCACAAAATAAATCAAACTTTACACACGTGTTGTCGTTTGTTGCTGTCGTGTTGGCCGTCTGAGCGGAGGCTGTACAGGTTACGTCGGGATCGATAAACACCAGCGGTACATCTCTGATTGTGCATGTACACGGCTACATTCATTGCTCGCAGGACTTCTTACATTCAAGTTTGACCCCAAGTTCTGGCTTGTTAGATTTTGACACCAGCTGCACTGAAGAGCGTTTTTAAAGGTAAATTTCACATTAACACCACAACAAAAATCAGTACATTTCACATCATTCTGTGTTTTAACCTTGTTTCAAATGTTTGACATTTGCAGGGTTTCAGTCTGCGGGTTCAATCTGAGAGTGCTGGGTGAGTAGCAAATCTTTATAATTTAATAGTTTTTAGATTTATTGACATAAAATACCAGAGCTAATAATGCTACATCACTGTTATAGTACACATTTACAAGTAGGATTCACTTTAAAGTAGAGCTGCAACCATTAACAAAACTATTCTGACAATCAGTTCATCAGAAAGTGTGAATTCTCTGATTCCAACTTCTTAAATGTGGATATTTTCTGGTTTAAACTGAGCATCTTTGGACAAAACAAGACAGTTGTCATCGTTTTTTAACCAAACAACTAAAATAATGTTGGTTGCGTCTCTTCTTTAAAGCTTCATTAAGCAACATTTTTGATAAAACATCAAATCAATCGACACAAACTGATGTATCATTTTTGAAATTTGCACATAGGGCCAGAAAACACAGCAAATTAGCTCCCAGCTTGGGGTTTTTTTTTTTTGGGTTTGGTTTTAAAGCGTCACATTGACGACACAGCTCTAAACATCGCAGCTCGGCCAGAAACGAATATTAAAAGTGTCAGGAATTAGACCAAAACTGCAGCAGGATGATCATTTTGCATTCCCCTCTTAATGCAGCTTTGAATTGAGGAACTTTAGCTTTAGCAACTTGCTAAAATAGTCCAAAGTTTTCTGCGTAATTGTAGGAAAATAGAACTTTTGCACCAAAACGTAACAAGCCAGTGCGACTTGAGTCATTTTTATTTCAGGCTACTTTCATTCTCGAGCTCAGAAACAATAATTTACCTCCTCTGTGGTTTGTCATTATGTACAAGATTAATTTAAAAGGACAAGATGTGTTAACGTGATGGTTGTGTTGGCTACAGAAAGGCATGAAGAGTCACTGCCATCAGTTTCAAAAAGAAACTTTAAATATCTCTAAATCATAAAAACAAAAACAAAAAAAACCCCAGAACAACACACTCATCTTCTCGTGTCTGTACAAAATGTGCTAATCAACAAGTGGCTGCCTTCTAGGAAAAACCGGTAAAAATAGCTGCATTGTTAGAAAATGGCTAGTGCGCTCCTCGGTCGCTGGATGCTTTGGTAAGAAGGGTCGTCTTCGTACTAGCGTCGCGTACAAAATATAGATATCAAAATAAATCTCGTGACCTTTGTTTCCTTCGAAGCTGTTCGGCAGGACGTCAAACTGGCGAAATCTACATATAAAAAAAAATCACAAAACTTAAAAACAAACCAGTGATATGGCTTCTTATTTAGAACAATAAATAAACACTTCTTTTAAATACGGCAGAGTCAAGAACACGAGAGTTTGTCGGACACGAAGGGTGGCGCTTCGCCCTCGTGTACGTTTGTTCTGGGCAGTGTTCACGTGGGCGGAGGGCCGTTGGTGTAGCGCAGCATCGGGTAGAAGGACCGGGCGAAGTTGTTGGACAGAGTGCAGCTGTAGTCTTCTTCGGACAGAGGAACCAGACAGGCCAGGACCAGCAGGACGAAGAACAGCAGGTGAAGGGGGAAGGCGGCTCGAAGAACCCGGTAGAAGAAGGGCCGGTGTGGGGACGATTCCCGTCGCTCCTCCCTGCATTTGGACAGACGATGAAGGTGAGTACACGGTCAACCAAAAACACCGCAACTGAGGATAAAGTGAGACTGGAAACTCTGGAAAAACTAGTAATGGGACTTTAAACTCTGCTAACAAGCCTATCTTCTTACTCCTAAGGGGTGTCACTAGAAGACACGTGGACTTCGTCACTTTAAGGTTCCTTAGGTTCTAACTGACCAGTGAGGAGACCCAAGTATTTATCTCAGACCATCCATTGGTTGGTGGTGGTGAAGCTGCCTGGTTAAGGATCTCCGGAGTGCATTCTGAGTTTATCAGTGCTGTCATAGATCCCCTCCTCTGTTTACAGATGGCTGTTATAGGTTCTTTCTCAAACTGTCTGTCTTCTCTGACCGGGATGTAAACATTGCCATCCTCAGAGGAGTGTCCTTTCGATGCAGGTGGACTGCTGAGTCTTGTCCTTTGTTGTGTTTAGTCTCCTCTATGCATAGGACTGTGTATACAGCACTGTTCAGCTCGTGTTTGTCTGTTTTGTCGTCGGGGTGAACCAGTTTTCTAAAGATCTAAAGTACACCGAGATGTTACTAACTGATAACTGATAACTTACCGTTAAAAACTTGAACCAATAAGGCAAAAGACCATGGGCATACATGTCAGAATTCTTATTGTTGATTAATTGTCCACCAGGTGGAGCTTCTCACTGTTTGTTACTGTAATGACGAGAGGAGTCAGTTACTCGGACTACGAGCAGCTCCAGTCGGCAAACATTGTAGGGGTTTAGCTAGAAACGACCACTGTGATGGTTACTGACCTACTGCCACAAAAACGGGTTCACCCTGAGGACACAACAGCCAAAGACGACCAACCCGAGGAGATCCAGCTCCTCAGAACAAGATTCACTCCTTTGAGAGCAGTGATGTCCACACTCTGATGGTTTAGACGGATGGTTCCAGAGAGGAGTGAAGGACGACATCTACGTTAAACCTCAACAGCCATCTCTAAACACAACCAGCTACTTACGATGCAGTCCTGGGATTTTCACGAGTTCAAGGTAAGAATAAAGACCTGCGACTCCCAACCACTCAGAACTGAGGACGCCTCTTGGATGACGGCTAAAACATCTTCAAGAACCAAAGTGGAGCTTCTACTGGAGAACTTAGGGTCTGGGATAAGCTACTAATTGGACTTTGAAGCAGAAAGACGATGGTGGATGTCATAAGTCCAGGTTCTGGAGGTTCATGTGGTGCTTCCATAAGTGTCCCCACTACTCAGAATAACTTAAACAGGGTTCTCTTTGGAACTACTTTGCACCTAAGAATTGTTGAGGTGTGTAAATAATCCAGAGTGGGCAGAATAAGGACACATGTTGGTTTCAAAACATTCACATCTACTGTCTCATTGTTTGAAGTAGACACAGAAGTGAGAAGATGATTTTTTTAATTTGGGTAAATTTAAACCAATGAACATAAAAATCTAACCGCAGTAGGAAGACGTTACCTTCTAGTTGCTGGTTGTCCGATGATCGCTGCCTGTCGACTGACCTCCTCCTGCAGCAGACAACAAGTCAGACATGCTCGTCACTTTAGCGCCCCCCAGTGGCCACATTTGTCACAGTGATTTATACAGCATGTTTAAAACTACAGTCATTGAGCCAACGTGCTTTCTAAAACCAGACTGGTGTTACAATTTAGCTAACAGGTTAAATTATTAAGATTAATACATAAAATAACACAAGTTCACCAGCCTCTATAGTCAGTGTTCACTAATAAATCTGTTTAAATCTTATTTTTTTTTAGCTATTTAAATACATGTTTCGAATGTTTTCTCCTGCGCTGTAACATTTGTAATATCATACTAATAAAACTAAAAACATGTGGCGCCCCCTGGTGGTCAGACAGACTTTTGTAGGCATGCTGCTCTGTGCATTTTTATTTATTTATTTACTTTTAAAATTCTTGTAGCTTTTTCAGTATTAAAAGTGTTCCGTCTTTACATTTCAGTTCTGTTTAATAAATCTCATGTCTCTATTCTTTGCAGATTGAAAACTGAACTCTGAGTCGTACCTTGAGCAGCGGCGAGCCGATGGTTCCCAGACCGATGCTGTCCATCTCTGAACTGGTCGAACAGGCTTCCTAAAGACACAAACGGCATCAGATAAGACTGAAGGAGCCGGTTCCCAGCCTGCAGCTTTTTGTTTCAGAGAATGTTAGACACCAGACGGATGAAGACACGTTTAACTAAAGTCTGTAACTAATACAGTCAGGTTTACTGATATCAGCTGAATGTCTGTGCAGTGCTACCTGGAATAAAAACTGTCTATTATTTGATATGTCGTCACCTAATTTAAAGGTGCAATCAGAGTCTCAAAACCTCCAGCAGGTCTGTAATTTCCAAATGATTTCCTTTTTTATTCCCTTGAAGTTTCCTGTAAAGCTCATTTGTCACTTTTCATGCTATAAACAGAAACGTCCTCCCACTGAACTGAAGTGGGTGTTAATTCATAACTCACAGGTGATTAGAAAAACTTCATTTTGCACATTTTGACTCGAAGAAGACACACTTCAGTTGTGTTTATCCAGATAATAACGGTGGCGTTTATATTAGACGTGAGGAGAAGACTTTTCTTTTCTCGCTGCACCTTGAAAATTGGAGAAAGAAACTCCTGCTGAGCTGCTCCCACTAAAGTATAGTCTAAATTAAAAGTCTGATAAGTTATAGACCCGTAAAATAAAGTGTTTGAGTTTAACAGCTTGAACACTGACTTATCTCTAAATACGTCCAACTTCTGATCAGTTCTGTAAAACTGCTCAATGCACGTTAGAAACAGACACATCTTGTTGTAATTTTTAGAAGTAGGATTCAAAGATGAATCGATTTAATATCAACATTGAAGTGATGCAGTAACTCCAGACTATACTTCATGCCGTCCTTCTTGTGTTTGAAATCACAGTGAGTATTAAACTGGTGTAAGTTCTACCACAAATCACATTCCCATGTCCGTCAGAATGATTCTATATGACTGTTTTTTTGCGTGCAGCAGATGAACCCACCAGCCTCCCCTGCAGCGTCTGCAGGTCGGTTGCCGCCTGCCGCAGCAGCAGCTGCAGCTTGTTGCCGATGACGTGGACCTTCTCTTTGGCCTCCACGCTGTCCTCCGCCGTGGCCTCCAGCAGCAGCTGTGAGGAGATCTCCTGCAGGGAGGAAACCTGCCGGCGGCGACCGCGGAGCTCCTCCTGCAGAGCCTGCAGCAGGGGGCGACAGAGAGCAGCACTCAGACACTGGCCGGGCCAACGCAGCAGCGTACCTGCTGTCTGCATCATTATATCAGCTATAACAGGACTTATAGTATAACATGAGAAGGTTGGGTTTGTCTGTGCTGTGGTCGTCCTTCTCATAAACTGTGCAGAGTTAAGGGCATGAAACTGATGCAACAACTGTGTCTGCAGATGTAAACAGACTTTTGGTCAAAACTCAGGTGTGTGTGCATAAAACAACTACTGACTGTTACATTTACAGAATCTATAAATATCTGCGCCTTCTACTTCAAAACTGAACCTACATGTTTACGTACTGCTGCACCTTTAGTGTACTTTTTGCAGTACTTCAGATCTTTTCATTTTTGTTAAGCGATGTGAAATATCCACTGGTTTTCTTATTAATACACCCCATTAGATTACACAGATGTTTTTACTAAATGTTTATATTTGCATATTTCTTGCACTCTTACAAAAATGTCTACATGTGTGAACTCACTTGCTGCTAAGGTTTGCTGTCCACTACAATGACACGTAGAGGCTTTCTGTTTTATTTGCAGTAAACAACATATTAATGCTTATTTCAGCCACTAAAGAGTTTCTCCAGACGGGGTTCTTGTGGCTGGAACACACAAATGTTCAAGTTCTTGCAAACACCTTCATTACCGTCCTTTATACCCCAGCATTCCCGCTGAAACCCAGCGTATATAAAGTGATGGCTGCCTCACCGTCAGAGTGTCGCGGTGCTCCAGCAGGACGGATCGTGGAGTCGAAAGGTCTCCGACGTTCACGGCGTACAGTTTGTTCTCGGCCTGAGCGAGCCACAGCAGCAGAGAGTGAAGAGTCTCGTGGAACTCCTGGAGAACCAAAAACGCTGGAGTCAGATTTCACATTCACCGATTCACCGTTTTTGATGATATATTATACTAAAACAATTTAA